CCCCCCCCCAAAATACTGCAAGGGGGAGTAGCCGTTTGTACAGGTAATTGATGCATCACATGTAGCAACTAATAATATGTGTGAGTATATGTGTGCATGTGTATGGGTACATATAGGTATTGTATGTGCGTATATGTGTGTGCATATGTGAGTATATGTGTGTGTGTGTGTTTGTGTATATGTGCGTGTGTGTGAGAGTGCATGTGTGTGTGCATGAGTGGGTGTATACAGTCAAACCTGTGTAAGACGGCCACCCGTTATCAAACAGAAAAGTGGCCGTATAAGACAGGCGGCCGTCTTAGGCAGAACTGATCAAGATGAAGAAAACAAACCATTCTTTTCTGAGGTCCCAACCCAAGGTAGCCGCATTGTTGTTGTTGTTTTCGCTGGGGGTTTTTTCTGCTTTTTTTTCTCTTTTGTTGCAGCTTTTGAGCATGGGTGACAATAAAACGAAAAGGGTCAGACAAGGAGGACCGAGTGCTATGGTAAAACAAACACATGGGTCGCCACCACTCGGAGAACGAGCGACGCTTCTGTCACAAGTTCATGTTGACGTCCATTGTTACTTTGTTACAGACTGTGTAAACAGTGACCACTCACCTCACTTACAATTTGTGTATGAGTTCTGGGTGGGGCTTATGGGTCAAGAGGGATCACATGCTTACCTCATCAGCAGCTGAAAATTTGGTACCTATTGGTCAACAGTGGGAGGGGCCTACATAACATGATCCTTGGAGGGACTACCTAACAATAACGACAGGTGATTGGATTATGACGGCTCGCATACAACGCCAGGGGCCAAAGCATGATTCATGACAAAACGTAATGGAGTCACTTAGGAGGCTGTCTAAGACAGGTGTTATTGCTTGGTGTGATAGGGGTTGAGTGTCAAAATATGGTGGCCATGGCCGCGTTGGACAGGTGCCCGTTTTACACAGTTAAATTATATAGTAAAAATTGCAAGGGTAAAATGTAAAGAGGCCGTTTATGCTGGTGGCCGTCAGGGCATGTTCAACTGTCTGTGGTAACATACGGTCGCTTTTAAGGACAAGTGGGCTAACCTAGATTTCGTGGGTTTCCAGAAATCTAGACCAACACCAAAAGTGGGCATTGGTCTACCTATAGAAGTTCGGTTTCGTGGGCATGTAAATTTGTTTGGTTATAGAGAAAACACTCCTTGTATTTTAAAGAAACTGAACAAGGGGCAAAAACTTTACTTTCAATTTTCTCAAAACAGCATCTTTTGGGATAGCCCCCTTGTGCTTAAAAGCGACCATAAATGTGTGTGTGCATGTGTGTGTGTGTGAGTGTGCGCGCGTGAGTGCATGTGTTTGTACCCACCTTTATAACAGCTTCCCTAACGACTGGGGAGGAGACGTCAAAAGCCAACTCTTGTACCAAGGTAGTCACCAGTCCCTGGATCACCTGCGAGTGACGCAAGAAAGACATCAATCAGCACCATCTACACACTAACACCAACCACCCATGTTCCATATACACACCGGCTTACCACCTTGACTTCATCTACACACTACACATTCCATATACTATACACACAACCACCAACTACTCACGCTCTACTTACACATTTCACACACGTGTTTTCATTACAATAAACAGCAAATGACCTGACAGACATGCAATTCAAGAAGAAGAAAAAAAATCATTTTATACTAATCTGATATCTGATTGGGGTTCTTTGACGGGGAGGGGGAACAAATCGAAGAGCTCCAATTTTATGTTAAAGATGACAACAAAGAGAACTAAATGATCATAAGCCTTTTGCTATACAGACACATACACACTCTCTCGCACACACTAAACACATTCTCTCTCTCTCACACATACACACAAATTCTCTCTCTCTCTAACACACACACACACATATTAGCCTTCTATTCCTCTCAAAGTGCAAGTGTGTCTTATCTCACCTGAGCAGGAATAAGTTCCCAGTACAAGCTGAGGACTCGACCCACGCCTTTCACAGCCACCAGTCGTACCTCCGCCACCGAGTCTGACAACAAGCTCTGAGGACAATGAGAAAAAAAAAAACACAAGTAAAAATTACATTTTTTTTAAAAATGAAGGCATTTTGACGCCATCATCGACACAATTTAGATCATTTAGGAAGCAGGCTTCTGACCAATAGAAAAACCGAGATACTCAATAAAAATATTCTCCACATTCGAGAATCAAACTCCGGTCCGGTCTCCTGCATGCGACAGCGAAGCGCCAAACTGCTTCACCAAAGATGATGGTAATATTTACTGAACGTAGACATTACACTATATGAATGAAAAGATGTGTATTAAAAACACAGTGCCCATATATTCATTAGATAGAAATGATGATGGTACAAACCCCCCCCCCCCCAATAAAAACATAATACCCCCCCCCCCCCCCCAAAAAAAAAAACCCCAAACAAACCCCAAGCAAAAAGGGGAAAACTCACAAAGTTTGGGACTTGTAAAGGCAAGGCCACAAGAAGGCACATTGCCAATCAAATGCATTTGATTCTGTGAAGACAACCTGATCTTCCCATCAAGGATGGGGCAACAATTGCCATTCTGGTACAAAAAGACAATTCAACTAAGTTCGACTGTGACCATCAAAATGAAACACGTTTGTTTTTCAAGGCCTATGGTGTATCAATTAGGCGCCTCACTGTTGCATGGTTCCACTCCCAGGTGAAGAGAATTTTATTCTTAATGAGTCTGCCTTTCTGCTGGGACGCTGTATCCCTCTCAGCCCGGGTTGGCCCTGACCGGCAAGGTCAGAAGCCCGCCTCCTAAGCTATCTAAATTATGTCAATGCGGGCGAAAAAACACCTGTTGTCAGTTGTTAAGCTTGGTATTCCAGCAACTAAAATGGACAGTTAGTTATCAAATCTGGTATTCCAACAACTGACCAGGACAGTTGAAAAGCCTGGTATTTCAACAACTTACATGGACAGACATTTGACAAGCCTGGTATTCCAACAACTTACATGGACAGTCAGTAGACAAGCCTGGTATTTCAACAACTTTCATGGACAGACAGTTGACAAGCCGGGTATTCCAACAACTTACATGGACAGTAGACAAGCCTGGTATTCCAACAACTTACATGGACAGTTGACAAGCCTGGTATTCCAACAACTTATATTGACAGTAGACAAGCCTGATATTCCAACAACTTACATGGACAGTCAGTTGACAAGCCGGGTATTCCAACAACTTACATGGACAGTTGACAAGCCTGGTATTCCAACAGCTTACATGGACAGTAGACAAGCCTGGTATTTCAACAACTTACACAACACGTGCACAACATTAAGTACCTATACTAATCCTATGCAGACCTGCCACTCTTATGAACCCTCAGAATCAGGATCTTGGGGAAAAATCGGGATTTGGTGAAAAAAATCGGGATCAACAGCAAATCACCAAGGTGACTGCCAAGATGACTTAAACATTTTCCAGGAGTGTCCATAAATAAATAGGCCTATATGCCCTCTGTGTGTCTTTGTTTGTGTGCGCGTGTGTGTGTTCGCATGCGTGCGTTATCGTTATTTTTTGTATTTTTTGTAAATCCTGAAGCATCACGTCAAGCACTCCTACTCCAGATGTATAACAACACCCCCCATCCCCCAACCTTTAAGTCCCGAAAGACACTTTAACCAGCGTGCATGAACTTAAGTTGACCTTGACCCCGTCAACGGACGGTCCCCGACACGCGGAACTCACACGGCGAAGTCATGTTATGTGATGCGAGCGCGCAATTGAAACAATTTTACTGACGGGTACGACTAACTGTGCATTCACACAAAACACCCGGATGAGCGACAGTCGTTCTACTTCTAGGATAACAATTCTAGGACTAAATGTACCAACAAATCTCTAATCCCTCATATGCGTTCACACCAAAGCAACGACAATGGCCGTCTGTTAGTCATGTCAGCGCAGCTACGTGTAGTTGTGTAAGGGTTAGAACGACTGTCGCTCGTCAAGTGTTTGGTGTGAACGCGCAGTTACCAGACCCCGGACAAGGCTTGTTTTTAAAGTAACTGCGGAACTACGAATATTATCGATTACTTGTATGTCCCAAATTGTAAGAGTCACCAGGCTATCATCGGAGAGTTCTGAGTGCGGGTAAAGATCAAACACAACTTTGGGCGAGTCAACTACTAAACCCGGCATCAAGATTTAGGAAAATAATGCTTCAAGTTCATACTGACAAAAAGTTCAACAGGTGCTTCCCGCGATAAAGGAGAAGGCAGACTATATTTTTTTTAAAATCCGGCACAACAGCAGACTGGGACAGAAAATCGGGATACACGCGATCAAAATCGGGAAAAACAGGATGCTTGAGATTTGGGGCAAAAAATCGGGATATCCCGACTAAATCGGGATGAGTGGCAGGTCTGCCTATGGCATCCTTTTGATTGGATTGGGCGATGGGAAGGAAAAGGAAAAAAAAAGAAAAGAAAGCTTACATGCATGACATCAAACTGTCGCTGGAGGGTCTGATCTGCTTGCTGCACGTTTAGTCCTGGGTTCTGCAGCGGGAACACGTCAAACATGATGCTGGCGGCGTTCACACGCACATCACAATTGGACACCTGCAATTATATGGGTGTTTTAAGCCTCTTCCACACAAGTAGATTATCTTCACAATGACATGATTTAAAACAAATTAACTGGAAAAAACACATTTTTATTTCAAATATATAGATAAGATAAGATAAGATAGTACTTTATTATCCCAGAGGGAAGATAAGATAGTACTTTATTATCCCAGAGGGAAATTTTCCTTGGCTGTACAGGACCGTAAAAACACATGCAGGTATACATAAAAAAATTTAAATCATATATATTACTCTCATTAAAATTCAATATGAAAGGAGAAGTAAAGCTGACAAAATGTACATTTACATCAAATGCATCATTCAACCACATAGTAGAGTCCAAAGGAAGACAAAAACAGAATCCAAGCAGCAGATATGTTGTGTTACAGGAGACTACTCCGGGACTTACAGATGAAAAAACAAATGAAAGGAAACCACCCTATCAAATGGGTCTAATGTGGATCTAATGGAACAAAAACTTTTTGTTCTCATAGTGTCAAATGTGCTAATTAACCTATAGTGTTTATATAAACAGCAACAACAAATGTGTTCTATAAATTGTCCTAACTGAGTGTAGAAGCATGCTAACTAGATCTAACCATGAGATAGAGCTGGATCCTGCTCGCCAAATCTGAGCGTGGCGATTCACGATTCAGTCGTCTTCAAAGAATCGTGAGTACGCGAGTGCTCGTGGAATACTAAGCCTCGGGCTCGTTGTATGCGTGAAACGGAACAGTGTCATATCAACGCCACTTCGCAAATCCCACCCTTGTCTGACCTCAATTAGCGACCCAATAAATTCACCCCCCCCCCCCCATGATTCTCTAGGGTCCATAAAATTCCTTCTGTCTATTGGTTGGAACCCGTTCAGTTTGTTTTAATAGAGAGGTTGAACTATTCCATCTTTTGTAAAATAAGGGGAGCCATACAAAGTGTTCCGTTCCGTTCTTGCGCTCGCGACTCGTGATCCAGCAGTAGGTTACAAACAAGCCGCAGGGTGGTGACAGGGGAGTGAATCGGGAATCGGAAAGCGATACTATTCCGCTGAAGTGAGTTGCGAATCGCATTCCGCAGGGAAGAGTGGCGATTCAGTTCCGATCTCGCGCTCAAGACCCAGCTCTACCACGAGAGACCTACGACCTACAGTGTATGTATACAGCAACAACAAATGTGTATTATAAATTGTCCTCACTGGGTGTTAACTACTAGCCATAAAAGATCTGTGGTGTATAAATACAGCAACAACATATCGGCAAACTGACAAGATGGACTAATCCCAAAAAGCAAAATTTTTTACAAGAGACAAAACTCTCATTCTTTTAACAGCTGACCAATGAAATGTGCTTTATAAATTGTCCTAAATGAGTTTTAAAAAAGCCTGCCTACAAACCATGAGAGACCTCCAGAGAATCGGCTCGTACAGTTGGTTCAGCATTTGTTCCACGCCACGTTGTGTCTTCTGTTTGTGAATGTAGCTCAGAACCTGGTAGTAGAGTGAGTGTACAGTGGTGGTGGTTTGTATTTGTGTGTTGTTGGGGGGAGGGGGGTGTTGAGTGGGGGGGGGGGGGGAGAGGGTGGTAAGTGGGGGGAGGAGAGGGTGGTAAGTGGGGGGAGGGAAGGTGGTAGGTGGGAGGGTTTAGGTGAGTGTGGAAGAGGGGCAAAGGGGGAAGAGAAAAAGTCGATACACCAAAACATTGGCTCGCCGAAAGCCAAGAAGAATGCTTCTGAATATTCTAGGGTCTGCTGGAGTGATAATATAGATTGTACTATGAATTGACCTTGCTGTTGAGTGGGTATATATGCACTATACAAATGCTATTTATTATCATTATTAGAAATTCAATCAACACTGGTAACAATGGCCTCCATGGGGAATTTGAAACAAGGTCATCAGCATTGTAGCCCTCAACACTTGGCATTACAGTCATTTTGGATCATAGCCATCTTTGTGACAAAGCTCTTCATCATCACCATCATTGTTGTTATCACCATCATCCTCATCACTCTCATTATCACCACCATCATCATCAATATCACCATCATTATCAATGCCGTTATCACCATCATCACCATCTTTATCACCACCATCACCATAGTCGTCATCATCATTATCACCATCATCCTTATCCTCATCATCATTACCGTCTTAATCACCATCATTGTTGTTACCACAATCATTGTTTGTTATCATCTTTACCATCATTGATGCTACAGTGAAGCAATAGCAGAAAACAGGTAACATATTTCCCGACGTAAAAATTATATGGACTTATGGACTTACGTACTCAGATCCAAAAAAACTGGTTCGACTAAATAGATATGTTTATCATGCACCGGTTGGCAGTTTCCTTTTCCTTCCAGGGCACTAAACTTAGGACTTACTCGGAACAGAATGCTGGCGGTTGACTGTTGACCACCCCTCTGAGAATGGACTGCCCGGTACATCAGGTCCTGTATGCAGCCCTGCTCAATTTTCTGATGACAAGCAACAACAACTTTAGTGTGTGGCCTTGTGGTGAAATAGGGCGCTCGTCAAAATAATGATATCCAAGAAACTGACATTTTTCCCACCCGTTGAGCAATTTTTATTGAAATTCTTTTGGGGGGGGGGGGCTCGCACTAGCTCTCAACACCTGCCATGTCCACTAAAAAACACATTTCTTCGAGGATTTTACTGAAAACTTTGATCAAAGGCACAAAAAATGTATCTCTGCAATTTCTGAGGACATTCAAGCTTTGGGACTTACCAAACATTGGCGGCCATTTTGTCATTAACTTTACCTCCAACACCAAGCAACCCCACCTCCTTCAATCACAAATATCTAGACATCAATTCAAGATAGGTGGGTATTTTTTTCATAAAAAGCAAGACAAACGAACCAGCTTTAAGACTATACCAATCACTCCAAATGTCCAAAAACTTGGGAGCGCCTGACCCTATATTAACCCTATCAGTACGTCGTGTTTTACTATCGTATCCATATGACGTGGGGAACTCTGTGCCATCACTTTCAAAGAGGAAATTTACTCGTTAATCCGATCTGTACGCTTTGCATAGCAGTCTGTCAAAATGATTTTATGAGAAATACTGAAACTTTCGAAGAGATCTCCGTGCTCGAAGTATTCTAAAATGTGAAGAATAAAATAAACCCCAGGGGTACAAAATGACCCCAAAACGTATGGGCTGGGTTAAAAAATCTTGAGAAACATTGTGACCTTGGGGCTTTTAGACTGATAGTGCACTGTTGGTGCATACTTACCTGTGTCGGTCTACAGAGTTGGGAGTCAAGTTAGAATTAAAAGTGTATGCGTGTGTTTATGAGACTGCGTGTCAGTGTATGTATGGGTAAGTGTGTGCGTGTGTGTGTATGTTTGTGTGTATGGGTATGTGTGTGTAAGTCTGTGTGTAAGTGTTCGTTTGTGCACATACATCCAAGAACTCACCAGTCTATTCTCATCAGGAGATTTCTGCCAGGCCCTGAAGTAAATCTCTCCATACTTGCTGTGCCAAGACCTGAAGGAAATGCAACAAACATAATTCTCTGATCGATATTTTAAAGGGAAAACTAAACTGTTTCTCTCACTCAGTTTAAAAAAAAAAAACCTTTCTTGCCTTACTATTACCGACATACCTGGTAGCCACAAAAAAAAAAGAATAATTTTTAGATTTGGGCCGTACCATGGACTTCACTGAAGCTGGCTAAATTTGAGCCCCTGGCTGGTTGCCTCAATAGGACGTTACATGTACATCCCGCTAATCACCTGGCTTTAATTCTGTTTATGGAGTTTTAGCCACAAGCACTGCGTGGATTCGTATTTGGAAATAAAAAATGCGCATATTGGTACCAAATTTGCTAGTGTTACGTTATTGCTAGGCTTGTAAGCGATCGATAAACACAGATCTATTCCTGCGGACAACCGTATGCTCTCGCAAAGTACAAACACCAAAATAACTTTAAATAGGCAGAAAACTTCACTTTTATAATTAGATTTGCAAGATATCCGAAATTATGAGTAAGACGGGGAACATAGGGGATAAGGGAAACAAGAAAAGAGAGACAACTGAAGGCCCTGGGTCTGAAATATTTCAAGACTGGGTTAGATCAAGACAGCGAGTCCATTAATTGATACATGAGACTGCTTTCCTGGCTTAGCTGAAAATCAGTGCTGATAGAAGGAATACATATCCCCTAGCAATGAAAGGGTTAAGATTAAGTTACAAAAGACCATGGAAAATAGAGGTGTGTTGCAACCCCCCCCCCCCATGTGTACTGCATTAAAAAAATAGGGCAATTAACCCTCTTAGCATCATAAACAGGTCAGAAACTCAGCACAGCAGAACCAAAATGGCGGCCAGCTGATGGCTTCCTAGAACTTAATTATTTCAGTGTTTTTCAGAGCTAAAGGTTGCATCAAAGAAATTGTTTTTGCCTTCAATCTAAGCAGGTAACCCAAACCCTCGCCTCGGCGCAGTTGAAAGCGTTTACGAAGCTCGAAATTTGACCAGTTTTTAATCAACCATTATTCACCTCCTTTGACATTAATCTTCACCCTGTTACAAACTATGTCAGTTCCACTATTGTTTTTAGCTAAAATCGAAGTATTGTGGATGGCACGTAGTGAGTTATTGTTAGTAAGCTATCTAAAAAGGTTACCGAGATGTTCGGGAATGTGTATTTCGCTGCCATTTTAATGCCGGCCCGGGTGACACAAATCAATGGCGCTTCATAAAATGCCTTGGTGCTCAGCAGCTATGGCTGCTGTCGTCATGAAACAAAAAGTGCAGGAATGAACTTTGAGCAAGCTTTCACATGCTACCTTCCGCTTGTTGCTAAAGTTATTTGTTGACCCAGAAATACCGGAGTTTTGGAACCTATTTCTAGAATGAAAATCTCAAAGTCTGACCAGCGATTGGTCGAAAGGAGAGTTGGACTACACAAAAGTAAAACGTATAAAGGGAATTGTGTGCAAAAATGACGATGATTGTTCCAACAGCCCTTGAGCGATGTTTGTTTTTGTAAACACATATACTTGTTCTCTCTCTGACGACAAGCAAAGGCAAAGAAGTTGATTTTGTTAAATAGATTTGTTATAGACATGTGGTTCTTCATAAAGTTATCAACCTTTGCCTAGCCTAGGATTTGAAGTTGAAGCCCAGATCGTAAACATGTGAACGGGTTGTCTCATTCAGAGCGTCGTGTAATTAACTCATCACCAGTATTGTTGTAACTCTGGATAGAAAGATAAGAAGCTTATATTTCTTGAAAATATGGTGAAAACTAAATCAATTTTTTTTAGTCAACCAAAATCAGTGTTATTTTCTGGTCACGTGACCATTTCTTTCTATTGATGATTCCGTAACAAAGACCTCTTTTTTTAAAGATCATAACAAGTTTGATGAACTCGTCTGGGAAGCGGGTGCAGCTGGCATTTGCTCATAGATGAATGAATATATTCTCTATAATATCGTGAATATCTGATAAAACGTTTGATGATTAATTCATTTAAGTGTTTTCTTTTCCCCGATGTCTATTTAGACTCAAGAAACAAACACCAGCACCAATTGAATTTTTTAAAATTTATAACCTTTAGAGACCGGTTTACTGCTGAAAATGGACTCTCCTACTCGAGAGCTTCATTCATCATAATTCGTGATTATCAAGTCGGTGCCTTTAGAATTGTTAGATCTATTCCTGAATAGAACCAATTTTTTTAGATTAATGAGCCATGGGCAATTTGAACTTTGTTACAGATCTAACTTGTTTCTCCCCCACTCTCTCCCCAATTGTCCTGGCCCTTGATTTGAAAATGGCCTCTGCCCGTGCGGTAGTTTCAGTCCAATTATATATTTTTGGAAAAAAAAAATCACCGTTTTCAGACGAAAATGGGCTCTTCCCATGCCAGAGCTTCTGCCCAATTTTTTATTTAAAAAACAAAAAAATCATTTTGAGATAAAAATGGGTCCTGCCAGTGCAGGCGCTTAATCCTGCCCAATTTTTAAAAAAATTAAATTTGATATGAGGAGTTTTTGTGTGTGTTAGTGTATTTGATCTGACATTATTGAATATTTACTATATTATTGCCTCATTTTATTATAGAAATGATAGCAGAAATGGATTCCTGGTCCAAAAACACACGAGAGTAGAGCTGTTGGGAGTCTTTCTGGTGGTACTACAGAAATTATAGATGATTTTGTTGAAGTTATGTTGGATAATTTCTCATTTGTATTATAATTTTTCTTTTATATAATCTCATATCATTGTAAAGCTTCATGTTATTACAGAAATGATACCAGAACTGGATTCCTGGTCCAAATTTACCGTGGCATGGAAAGTTTCATACAGTCACTGTTTTTTGGTAATTTTATTCTAAAAAGTTTTCAGACCATGGGTTCTGTGTTGTGATTTTCTGCTTAGAGCACAAAATTGGCAGATTTCCAATTTTTGTAGGTTCATAACTTATTAAATTGATGTGCCAGAACTCTGAAAAAAATGTTCTGTAAGTGTCATGTCTTTTCAGCAATAACATTTCATTTTATTGATGTCTGAAACCAGTCTTTTTTGCATTTTTGGACTAACCTGTGCATCAAGAAGTAACTTTTTCCAAATTTAGGTCGCCGTATTGGCTTTATTTAAACTCTGATTGTCCTCATCTTAGTATTTTGCATAGTTCATGCTGGCACCTATTGAAAGAGGTGATAATGCACACTTTATGTACCTCAATAAATTTTCTGTGAACTCACAAAATCGCACTTTTTAACAAGATTTCAAAGTTGCCAAAAATTTACGAAGTAAACAAACATTCAAATGCCTGTCATTTTAAAATTTATCGTCCGATATTAATAATTCAAACACCAAAGTTCATAGTTTGCATGCATAGTTCTTTATGATGCAACAAACAGATGTTGGATCAAAGCACTTTGAAAATTTGGTTTGCGGTACCTAATCTAAGCAACACATTTCAATAAAATTTCACATAGAAAGGCTCTGGACATCAACATCTAAATTTAGAGGGGAATGTTCTTATTTCAAAGCCTACACTAAAGGCAGATGCGTCAGGCTGGTAAGAGCCGGTATGGCTCTACAGCGGGAAAGCTGGAAAAAGCAGGTATGGCAACATGGCGGGAAGGCCTGTTTAGCCCAAAAAGAGTTATACGCAAATAAAAATGTTTTTTCACATCAGTTACAAAAAGTCGCATACAACTTGAGGGTATCCGACTGCGGTTCTTCAACAGCCTACAAACAAAAATTATCTGAGAGCTCCAGTTCTATTGGAGTACTACATGAGAACAGGTCTGCTTTAGAGTGCAGAGCCTCACTTTGGTGTAGCATGAAGTCCATTCTTGACAGCCCGGTGGAACTGTTCAGTCAGTTGTGGACTCAGGGTGAACAGATGGACCAGGAATCTCAAACCCTGGACAAAGAAGTAACACAAAATATAAGATAAGGTAATATAAGACAGGGAAAAATAATATAATATATATGACACCAGAATATAAAATAGGATTATGCAAAACAGGATAATATAACATATGAGAATATAAGATAAGATAAAATAAGAAATGATATATGATCCACAAGAAGGAAAATTTTGGGGGATATGGATATGCCAGAATATCAAACATAAAGATTCAACATCAAGACAGAAACGCACGCATGACATTCAAGTTGGATGATACACATACAACGATGCACAACTCACTCACACATGATGCATACCATTACAGTGAGTCTGTGGATCTCAATACACAAAATTAGAAGAAAAAAAAAATTGGGATATTCAATGCCTGCACGTGAGCACACACACTTGCTCACTTAAACACCCCCGTGCCCCAACCTCCTTGGCAAATCACACACACAGAGAATACAGTGTGATAAAACTACCCAAAATTGAACAATAAGAGGACAATACACACAAGCATCCACAGAACACACACACAGACACATGCACATACAGATACATGCACAAACACACACATTCATACACTTACAGAGATACACACACAGACACATATATGCACACACACAGACACAAGACAAACTTACACATAGACACACACACACCGAAACGCAAGCACAAGGGAACACACACACACACGCACAAAGGAGATCTGAGAGATCTGATTCTGGGCCTAGCAGAAATCTTTCCATAATGAACTGACTAGTGACTTCTCAAACATAAAGCACATGCACCCACACAGACACACAGACAAACTCACAGGAGCCGTGGTGACAAACTGGTGATGGTGCAGACAAGACAGAAGAAGAGACATCAGGAGGTTCGAACTCTCCGCACTCAGGTCAATGGCTGACAGCACCTTGTGTACGGCCCACACGCGAGACACATCCCTTTGCTGAAACGATATTACCAGATCAAAATCAAGGTCAGCTATTATTATGGCTGTGTTTAGTAGTAGGGGTAAAGAGATGTACAGGGTGATAAAAAAACAAAAACAACGTACAACTTTTTTTCCGAATATCTCACACAAAAATTGTTCTAGAATGTAGTAACTTGGAACTGACAAAATTCATGAATTTGTTTGACATAAAATCCACGAAAAAGAAACTTATTTTAAAGAGGAAATAGCTTACAGAAAAAAGCATGCAAAAACGCAAAGTTCAACTTTTTTTAAAAATCTTGTAAAGGAAGACGTGAAAAGATTGGTAGACTTTTTCTTTATTTTCTCTTTGACATTTAATTTTCCATTCCTGTAAAACTTCAACAATATTTAATTTCTTTTACAGAGTTTAAAAAACTAACGATTTCATTCTGGAATTCCTAAAAGCAGTGCTGTACATGCCCTCCTTTGGACTCGACACATTTTTAATGCGTCGTTCGAAATGTTAAAATACAAGGGCCTAGCTGCTAAACCACGAGTGTTTAAAGCCACATACACTGTACATATTCAGTATGAAGTGGCGTCTAGAGACGATAGGGAGAGGGGTGCCCAATAGACAGCATTTTTTGGAGACAACATATCCCGCATGGTGAAAATGGGCTTTGCTCTAAACCAAATGTCATCGAGGAAATGATCCGCTTTTTAAGACAATAGAGGAATCATGAACACATTGACATGTTCTGATCCATGTCATCTCGGCCTAGCGAAGATGGAAATGGTACAGTCGTAGGTTGAGACCTGCCATTAGAACGCAGACTGTTGAGGTGCAGGAAAGTCCTAGCTGCAGATCGTCTATGGACAGACGTCTCATGGGACTCAGCCACTGAAATCTGAACCCAGGTGACGTTTAAAGGGCTGTGCATGGTGCGTGTTCGACCTGAAGTGGTAATTTTCAAGGAAATATTTAGCTGTGATTCGCAATAGATCCAAACTGACAGAACTTCTCTACTCATGACACCAAAGGTCTTGAGGGCACATAAGCATTCTTTCCATGCCGTGCGTTTACCGAGAGGTAATGTTCAAAACAAAAAGCTCTCGCTCTTTAGGCTACAAAACTTAACCATGATCTCAGCAAGCAAACGAAATTTTGGAAAAATAATATCTGCAGACTTCTGTTGACTTGTTAGACTGCTGTAGCTAGCAATATGGCGTGATTGTTGTAACTTTGAGTGGTAGGCCTAATGGGAACTGGTTAGTATGCTACGAAAATTGGGACAAGGTTGAAAATGGGTTGTTTTTTTAATGCGCCATATAGAGCAAAAACCATTCAATGGACTTATGTAAAATGAATATCTGACAAATTCCTTTTGCTTTCCAAATATCATGTTCAAATCTGAAACGCATAACTTCAGTATAGAATAGAGAAAGATATTTAGAAGAGAAGTTGTACAGTTGGTTTTTTTTTATCACCATGGACATTAATGCAAAAATGGTATAATCATTGGTAAACAGATAGAAACAACAGAGGGGGGAAAAAAGTAGGACCTACCAGTGACACACTCCAAGCACCCACAAAGACAGAAACAACAGCGGGACAGAAAAGAAGTAGGACCTACCAGTGACACACTCCAAGCACCCACAAAGACAGAAACAACAGCGGGACAGAAAAGAAGTAGGACCTACCAGTGACACACTCCAAGCACCCACAAAGACAGAAACAACAGAGGGGGAAACAAGTAGGACCTACCAGTGACACACTCCAAGCACCCACAAAGACAGAAACAACAGAGGGGGAAACAAGTAGGACCTACCAGTGACACACTCCAAGCACCCACAAAGACAGAAACAACAGAGGGACAGAAAAGAAGTAGGACCTACCATTGATTATATCCTCAAAGCACCCACACAAACAGAAACAACAGAGGGATAGAAAAGAAGTAGGACCTACCAGTTGCGTCCTCGAACCGCCCACACAGACACAAACAATATTGAGGGAAAGTAAAGAAATAGAACCTGCCAGCAGCAGTCTCCAGCTACACATAATCTGTGGAATCCCACATGTAAAGAAACAAAAATCTCACTGTAAAAAAAAGGAAAAAAGAGAGAGATAGTGCGAGGGAGGGAGGGGGAGGGAGGGGGAGAGAGAGAGAGTGAGATAGAGGGAGGTAGGGAGGGAGAGAGAGGGAGGGAGGGAGAAAGAGGGAGGGAGGGGGGGAGTGAGAGAGAGATAGAGAGAGAGAGAGAGAAAGAGAGAAAGAGAGAGAGAGAGAGAGAGAGAGAGAGAGAGAGAGAGAGAGAGAGAGAGAGGGGGGGAGAGAGAGAGAGAGAAAACACCCCCCCACCCAAAAAAAAAAAAGCAGGGCTCCCCTTTACACACAAATGTGCGTATATTACGTATTAAACCTGCAGATTATCCCCTTTAAGTTTTGGTTGTGCGTGAGCTTTACTCTTTATAATTTCATTTCGGGGGTTTGCATACGTTTTAAAACGTAGGTGGTATGCGTCTGGCAAGCATCATTCCCCCCCTTGTTTCAATCGCGCATTCGCATCACGTGACATGACTTTGGCGTGTGAGTTCCACGTGTGTCAGGGACCGTCGTTGACGGGGTCAACTTAAGTTCACGCACACTGGTTGAAGCCTCTTCCGGGGCTTACCAGAGGGGAGGGGGGACGCGTGTAAAACATTTGGACTAGGAGACCATGACATGATACTTCAGGATAAAAAAAATGATAAAACACACAGGCACGCACGTGCGCGCGCTCACTCACACACATACACCACACATATGCACACGCGCAGAGGGAATACATGGATATAATAATGGACATCCCTGGAATTTTTTTTAAGTCAGCTTGGCAGTGACCTAGCCAGGTGATTTGTTGTTGATCGCGATTTTTTCCCCCACTGGGATCCTGACTTTTAGATTTCATAGAGTAGCAGGTCTATTTTTCTAGGAGTATTATAGTCGGAGTAGACCCCTTTTGGTTTGTCAACTTTATTTTATACTTGACAGACCCAACTGCTCAACCACCACCACTCTTCCCCCCTCCAAATGGACACAACTCTAATTCTAGTCAATATTACTGATTTATTTCTTAGTTAATTAAAATCGTTAGCATTCAATCATAGTCATGGTCACTCTATGTGTGTCTGTGTGAATGTGTGTGTGAGTTAAATGTTTGCAAGCAAAAAATCTTACTATAAAATTAGAAGATATTGACTTTTACCTTTTAAGTTTCTAAAAGAAGGATTTAAATACCCCATAACTGATTCCATGCGTGATTTTTTCAGGCTCTGGACAGAATTATTTTTCCCTATCTAGTTTTAGATAGGGGGTGCATCTATTTAATGCATAACTGTGAAGCTCTAAGTTACTCTATGTATTGTATAGCAAACTGATGGGAATCAATAGAGGAATCTGTTTATATTAATAACAATGACCTATAATCTGTTTGTAATGTATTTTCTCTCAGACAAAAACGAATGAGGAAAAAAAAATTGCACAACACCTCTTAGAAAATTTCGACTTACCGCGTTTTCTCAGCTCTACAAGTCCTTATAATCCATAGGAATCAACACAAATTTGTAGCGATACCACCCTAGCACACATTTATGCAAGAATTTCACAAATTTAGCTGAATATCTTTCTTTGAAGGGTCTTTTTATTATACCAGGGTCCGTGTCGTTTCCCTTAAATCTAGCCTACATAGCGACAACAAAACAACGATTTTTGCAAGAATTTCGAGGAGTTTCGATCGATATTGGCACTCAAAGGTTGAGGTCAGATTTGTTTACAAGTTCTACTTCCTTTCGACAACTTAAAAAGTAGGAACTATGTTAAAAAGAGCACATTTGTTTCGGATTTCGCTGAGCCGCTCACAGCGGTCGAACAGAAGCAGTGGAAAAACACAGAGCCGCTGTCAGCGGCCGAATGGACTGAATCAGTTAAAATAGTAAACCGAAGGGTGAAGGGACCTCTTAAGTTGGACTGAAAAGTGGAGCCCTGAGAAGTCTTTGACTATAACATACCGAAGACTTGGGCTGGGTGCTCCTGGTGATGAGATAGACAATGGTGTTGCCCATGACTTCCTCGCGACAGGGAAACTTGTATGTCCACCACTCCTCAAACAAACAGCTCATCTTGTTCTTCAGTTTGCTCATCTCTGAAGTCAGTGTGGGCAGAACTCCTGGGGAAGAGAGGAGAGGGGCATGGCATTGGACTTGGAGGTAATATGATAATAATAATGGTACAAATATTAATAATGTAGATCACTTTTATAGCACCTACTCCCATGTGCACACAGCTCTCATAAAAATGTCTCGGTCAGATTGACTGAATGTCAACTTGACCGTACACCAGTGACAAAACAAAGCCACAATCTTTTCCTCCAGTCATAATCACAAGCTGTGCATAAATCCATTCTAAAAGCAGTAAAGGAGATATTCACACTAAAACTTTTTCTTTTTTTTCTTTCATTATTCAGTTGTGTAGTCTCTCCTATATCCTTTCTGCTTCTTTAATCATTTCTGAGAGACTCCCCAAATTTTACATAACTCAGACACATGCCATAACAAACCAACCTTTCCCAACCGCACTTCTCCTTATCACAGCTCCATTGCCCCAAACTTTCAAAACCAAAAAATACTCTACCCAAGTGGTGGGTCAAAATAGTGGGGATTGGTCATTTAACCCCCCTCCCCCAAAGCCTTCACACACTATTCTGCATCCAATAAATTCAAGTAATTCAATTCAAAGTAGACCAGTAGAAAAAGATATCTCCAAATGAGTAACTATGCGAGTCACTGTCATTATCATTTGCAAATCTGGTATTGAAAATAAATCATTTTTCTGAAGTATCACAAAAATGTCCTTGAGCTGCAATGCTAGAAAACAGAACGCATATTTTCCTCTGAACTTCGATACTCGGCATTTTTCACGTTCTGAATGGCAGTAACGCAGATTGATAAACAAACAAACAAGTAAACAAACCATGCAGGATAATAACAGCCTCCTGTAAACTGTGCGGTACAGCCACATCCTCTGCAGTTTCCTCCTCTTTCTTCCGCATCTGTTGTAAGTTTTCCACAGTAGCGCCAGCTAATGTAGTGATGCAGCCCAACACATTCGCCGCCTGTTTCAGATCCTGCATACATAATAATAAGTTAATGTGTCACCAACAATCCTTTCAAATACATATTATCATATGTGTCCGTGACGGTCAATATCAATCACATGAAGGAGATTGCAAAACGGAGTACATTATCTTAAAAAACTATGACCTTTTCCGTACAATTTAAAAAAAGAAGGAAGTAAATTTAAATATGACAATATTTGACAAAAATACAAAACTTAAAATTGTGCCAGGTAAGGAAACACGAAAAGGAGAAAATGGACTCCGAAGTTGAGCAACATGTTTCCATAACAACGGAGGTCGTAGAATTGAGATAGAGACGTGAAATTTAGCAGTTATCTTGGCCATGCCACAGCAAGGTAACACACAGAAGTCAGAAAACTATTCATTAACAGAGAAAAAGTTTATGGACAAAACAACATTTTCACGAGAATGGACTTCATGTTAAATGCAACAAAATGTAAGCATTATACGAGCACCAGATACTAAATTTTCAAAGTAGCTGTATGCCAAATTCATCTGTTTCACATGAAAGGCCTATGTCTCCTGAAGATTTTGGTACCACACTTTTACAGCTCAGTCAGTTTTTAAGAGAATGGCAGCTGTTTCAATTTAACATAATTTTCAAATATTGCTGAAGTCGGTAACTCTGGCTGCAACCCCATGTTTGACAGATAATAAAAGAGTACCAAAAAAAAAGTGCACCAAACATCTCTACATTTTATTTTAAGAGTACAATCCCTATAACAAAGAAATGAAGCCTAGTTTTTTTTCCTTCAAGACTGTGAGATCATTACAAATCTGTATTTTATTGCCTCTCAAACACGATGAACCTTTTTTATTTCAATAAAAACACCAAGCGTTGTCCCGGCCGGCGCCGCACGAACACTCGCGGCGGGCCAGTCAACTCAATACTGTGGTATACTGAGTGCTCCCGATAGTTTCAAGGAAGGATTCATGCAAATAATTCCAAGCCGATAACTTTATTCTAATAGAAAAAGAACTGTTCTTTCTATTGGTACCTTTTTTTAGCCGACGGTATTTTACACATTTCGTGTTAAAATGATCTTTGAAAACTTAGAAGCTTTTTTAAAAGGCTTTCAATCCAATCGCCAATGGTTAAAAATATACCATGGGAAACCACACTCAAAGCTGTATAGTTTTCGTCAATGAAAAGACGGTATTTAATAATTAATCTTTCTGCAAAGTATTCGAATGCACGGGTGTCAATTTTGAACCGGCCAACCTCGTATTCCCACCGCGAGGGCTTCCCTTTCCACGGCGATTCTCTAACTCCAAGTATTAGGATATACAAACAACTAACACCATTGCAGCGAAGAAAATCTGAACTTTTCGAAGTGTACAATTTATAGCAAATGAGTAAAGAAATAGCAATCTGAATTACCCCCATTTCACCGAAACCATGCGCACGAAAGGTCGCAAGTCGGCTTACCTGACTTGTTTACACTACCTAAGTATACGTTTGGAATAGCACCATAAACACATGAGAGCACATACACACACACCCACACACACAAAACATACCAACACACACACATACACACGCACATTCAGTCATTCACACAGACCACCTCGGTGGCCTCTTGGTAAGGAGTCGGCTTTGAGAGAGATCTAGAGGAAGGTTAATTAATCTTTTAAATGCACAAAAACACAATAAAAATGAAATTTTTAAGTCAATCCAAGGGTAAAACTGAAAGATCAACAGACAATAACAGCTAGCAAGGCACACCCACCCAATCAGTTGTTCGCGTAAACAAGCTTGAAGTGAGCTAAGAGTGACCAATCTTACCCCGTTTAACTAATCAGAGCCCTCAGTCCTGCATAGTGAAGTGACATTACATTTTTCAGACCATTCAAGCTCGAAAAGGGGTTAAAATCTAAAAATAGTTGCGAATGAAGAACATTGAAGCAAAGGCGGATATGACGTAATGGTTCTGAAAATAATCTCACAGCTACACACCAGCAAGGTCCAAATTCCTTTATCTCGTCACCCAAGCTCACAACAAACGACATACACATCCAAAATAAAATATTTATTGTCAATTATAGGTGTTCATTTTGATCTTAAATGAAGCAGAATATATAAAACTTTCAATAGATCAAAAAAACAAAATTTTTAAAGAGAGTCACTTTTTTGTCTTTCAAGCCTTGTAGCGATATAGCACACTGCATCTTATGACTGATATTGACCGGGAAGACACATATTATATAAATACATGCACCTATAATCTGACTAAAGAACACATATAGAACTAAAAGATAAAATCACTGTGGTTGCTGATCTGCAAAAGAAGAATCAAACTAATTGGAAAAATAGCATATAGACCAGTTTTAAATGCATCAACGCAATACCGGTCACTGCATGTCACATGGAGATCCTGAACGGTACAAAGATTTATCTTATCAAATAAATCAGAAAGTAGTAGACTTGTTACAGCTAAACGAAAGCAAGAGAAAAAAAGTATGAGCAGATAATGTTATATGGCATTGGTGGCCTAATGGAGCTCTCGGACTGGTTCAATTCCTGTCGGGGGTTCGACGTTGTGTCCTTGGGCTGTGGGAATGGCACTACTTTACAAAAATTTTCCTCACTTTATCCAGGTGGGAATGGGCACCCAGCTATACATAGCGAAAGATCTTGTCAGTTTGTAGTGTTATATAATTTGTTAATCTGGTCTTAAAAGTTCCGAATTTTACTTCTGAAAGTCCGTGAGGGGCAATACTTAGAAAACAGAATATTTTCCGACATGAAAACTGAATTCTGTACTTCAGTGTTCAGAAACGCATCAAAGGCTTTTTTACGAACTGGTTGGCAGCTAGCTACATACTTCCATCTCATATACTGACCTTCTCCTCCGTTTCACAGTCCAGAATCGTGGACATGCAAATGAGCAATACAGCATCCCAGAAGTCCTCAAGCTGCCTTTTGCTAAACTCAGACAGCGTGTCCTGTAGCTTGCTTTCATCAGAAAGCTGTGGACGAAACTCCAACATTGAATCTGCACAGTACATTATGAACCATAACTGAAGTGGTCTCATTGATGACTGTATCGCTCATGATTGCAAAGTATTGGGTACAGTTAGGTAGCTATACCCACATGGCTATGATGACCCTATAAAAAGGGTTAATCAACAAATATGCACACTCAGGCGAAACTACATCGAGTATGAGCTTACGCCATTTTCATTTTTCTTTTAGCTATAATCGATTTTTACCCCCCCCCCCCTTCTAGAACAGACATCGATGATAATGTGTTTCCACTTATTAAGTCTATATTATTATATAAATGTTATACTTGGTCATCTAGAGGTATATTTCTAGTAAAACAACAATCCATTTTCTTAATGTGTGGCATCATGGTGAAATCAAGAGCACGTCAAAAATGAAAACAAAGAAATCAACATTTTCCCACCTGATGGGCAATTTTTATTCATTTTTTTGGTGGACTTTAGAACCTTTTATAATATATGTCCATGTAACAACACCATCCTGCTTGGATTTTTACTGAAAAAAACCAACAACCATTGATCAAAGGCACAGAAGAAGGTAAATCTGCAGTTTCCAAGGGTACTGCAACTTTAGAAGTCACCAAACTTTTTTTTACCTCAACTTTTGTTTGGGACAGATGGATATTTTATTTCCCAAAATAAAGAAAAATAAAAAAGATTTAAGATAACACACCAATAACTTGATTATACAGTCAAACTTGGATATAACAGGACAGACGGGACCGGCAACTTTTCCCTGTTAAGCGAGTCCTGTTATAACCGTTATAGAAACTACCAATACCATGTTGCACACTTCAGCTTACTACACATATATATTCAATCACCGCAGATCCCTTTCCAGTGGGCTGTTTTGCTGACACTGAGACTGAGACGGAACCGATCAGTGACCCCAAGTTTGAAAGTTTGTGTTTAGGTTTAGTAAGCGATTGAATACAAACAGGCGAAATAGACAAATTTTAATAATTTGACAGATCAATTTAGCAAGTTCATGCTCTGCAAGATCACTGCCATCCAAATCAGCGCAAACTGAAGCCTGTTATAGCTAGGTTCATAAATTACTTACTTACACTTACAACCAAAAAAAACGGGGATTTGATTTATCATCAGTTATATCAAGTTCCTGTAATAACAGAAACTGTTATAAAAGGACCTGATTCCTGTGATTGAACCGTGTATTTATTTGACCCTTTAAGCCAACCCCACTGGAGTATGTGAGGTGTAGAAGTTATCTATAGAGGCACTTTGCATTTGCATGCAGGAGACTCGACTTCGATCCGTGAGTGGGGAGAACATTTTTATAGAGTATCTCTGTCTCTTTGCTGGGACGTTAATTATTGTTAAATCCAAACAGAAACTGAGAAACTCAACTAAAAACAACAAACATCAAAACTTTCAAGCTCAGCTTGTTTTGTCACCTAGTGAAGGTTTTGTTTAGGTCATTAGACCACAGCATATATAAGACTTTGTTGTCTAGAAATGGGAAAAACCCAGTGCACATCACAAAAACTAAATTAATGCACTAAAAAAAAAAGAAATATATGCATTATAATAAATGTACTAACCCTTTTTGTGATCAGTGTGAGTTGGTCCACATCTTTTTCAGATGCTGAAATGAGTTCAGCCCGCGCTGCAGATGGCATTTTCCTCGGATGTTCCGCACTCTTTGGCTACTTCAGTTCCTTTCTTTTCATAGAGAGAAAAAATGAGGAGCTAGACAAGAATAACAGTTGAGCTAGCCTACTTGTGACTCTTCAAAACTCTCAGGACAACAAAAACTATAAAATCCTGCAAGAAAAGAGTATTATTTGTTCATCTAATAATTGTACAGTCAAACCTTGATGTTGTAGGCTACCACCTCCCGTTATACCACTGGGTCAGCTCCACTTACCATTAGGTTTTGCCAATGTATCATGAAAAGGAGCGCCTCTATAGGTCTACAAACATAGTAAATGTACGCCTTCACACTGCCATCCATCAACTGTCTGAGTTGTACAGTCCTTATTTAGGCTAACTAATTACTAATTTATACATATATAGATCAAAATCTAGATCTTAGATGAAAATAATCTAGTAAATTTGCCCGGCCATCCCTGAAACCCCACGTGTTGTTAAAATCGAGTCAAATATTACTATTTTCAAACATCAGTTTAAACTCAAAAACTATTGAGTAAAAAAAAAAATGCAGTAGCTACGTTCACGGCGCTCTGAATGCAGTTTGCAGGCGCTGTTGAGGCTACGTTCACGGCACTAAAGCTTCGTTTAGGGGGAGCGTCCACTGCCAAAAGTCAGCCGGTTTTTATATGGAACAGTCAGTGACAACAGTGACATACTACTAATATTTTGGCCTGTTTCAAGTGTTCTATCCCATGGGATGAAGGAAAACAAAGCGCCCTTACAGAGAGAATTAAAGTCGGGATATGGGAATACATATATATGGAAAATTGGACATAGTAAATGGGAAACAGGAGGTGAGAGATGGGAAACAGAAGGTGGCATTCAGAAGATGGGACTGGTCATAAAATGTGTACAATAATGACTGTATTGTATTGCACCGGGTCAGCCTATTTTTCTCTGTCTCTATCTCTCCCTCACCCTCTTTCTCCCCCCTCCCTCTTTCTCCCCCCTCCCCCTTTCTCTCTCCCTCTCTCTCTCTCTCTCTCACACACACAATGCTTGCTGACAAAATTGCTCGCTTTCAACTCGAGAGCGCTGGAACGTAAGTTTACATATTATTATCATGGGCCGTCACGCGCTGACACGAAGTCTCGCCCGGACGCGAGATAGGGCAATTGAAAGATCTTGGTAGGCGTGTATACATTTTTGTCATATTATATTCCTACGCATCGTTGTGTAATGAGAGTTTGTCGCTTTCTCTTACCCTGGCGAGCTCTGAGCCAGAGCTCAGAGTAAGGGAAAACAACGAATGATCGATCGGTCAAGGATCACTGATTCGTTTTTCTTCATCTCATGGGATGGAACGCTTTGAGCAGGCCAAAATATTATACGTCGCTGTCGTCACTGAATAAAACGGGCTTAAAACCGACAATGGACGCTCCGTCTAAACGAAGCTTGATCAAGAGTGCCAAGCAAACTGCATTCAGGGCGCCGTGAACGTAGCCACTGCGAACCCCCCTGTTGGCTACTTGATATTTCTCCCGTGAGACAAATAGAGACTGAGAAGAAGAATCTTGGCTCTAATTCTAAATACATTTAGATCTAGATCTAGAATCTCATCTAATCTAGAGATGTAAATTCTAGATATCTATAATAACTAACAAAAAGAAACTTAGTTTCTCAAAATTGGAGTAGTATACAGACCCGGTAACCGGGAACAAAGTCACGAAGTATACAAACCCTGTAGGGGAACTCTTTTGTGATTTCGGAAAGTTTCAGCGCCCTCTTGGCTCAGGCAGGGTAGCGTAGACTAGGAGGTCTAGATCTAGACAGACACTATAATATAAATCATTGATCTAGCTTCAAGGCTTAAATGAAGACTGCGGATGTCTTTTCGGTGTCTTTTCGATGAACGAATCGTTTTTTCCTCCGTTTAGGAGTTGGAGGAATCACAATTTGAAGTAAAAAAACGCCATATATAATTTTAATCGAGCAGTCACTCTCTCTATTTCTCTGCCTCTCTCCACTCTTTTTCTGCCTTTCTTCCTCTCTCTCTCCTCTGTCTGTGTATTTCTCGCCTACTTTTCTTGTTTGTCTCTCTGTCTTTCTTTCTCCAAACTCAAACCTATTTCCCACTCTAGTCACTCTAGTCTATCTTTCTCTCGTTCCCTCCTGCCAACTGGGGCATGCTCGTACATTTTGCTAGCACTTCCCCCTGTTCTCTCTCTCTCCTCACACACATACAATCACTACCGGGTATGGGCACTGAAACTTTCCGAAATCACAAAAGAGTTCCCCTACCGGGTCTGTAAACTTCATGAATTTGTTCCCAGTTACGGGGTCTACACTTAGTTTCAAAATACAGTCCATGCCGGCTTTAAGCACGGTCATCGGGAGAAAGCTTAAAAGCCGAAGCGTGCTTGAGTGCCAAGTAGACATAATCCAGAGATTTTCATATGTAGAAAATTTCCTGTGCTATTTCCCTTTGTTTGTAAGTAGGCCTATAGCGGTCCCGCAAAAGTGTGCACTCTTATTTTTACCCACCATGGTAGTTTTTGTTTGCTTGTTTGTTTTTGTTTTGTGGTCGAATGGGAATTGAAAACTTAACTTAGACGGCCAGTCACGATACAGCACACAAGGCCTACACACTGCCTGTGCGTACCACTGCCCGCTGTGCCACATTCATACCACCGCCTTCATCCCACCTCACGCGTGATACACAATCTGGATTAATTGATAGCGATGATCAAAGGTGAAATCGCAGCCAGCCTCCCTTTGTCGTCTCGTCGACTCTCTTCGTAATTTTTTCGTCTGTGTGTAGCTTTGCCAAAGACTAGATCTATGCGCGCGGCTGTGTGCATCTCTCTGCCTTCCTCTCCGCCCGTGTGTGTTTCCGTCGCTTGCGTTCTTTGTGTTTCTTAATTAACACACTCACTGCTGTGGTGTAAAGTGTTCGAACTTCGATAGGTCCTCATAAAAGTATTGACTGTCTTGTAAATGAAGCGTGCTTGAAGCCGAAGTTACCGTGCTTAAAGGCGTGTAGTTTATATACAGTATAGCAAAAAATTCGGTTAGAGCCGTTTAGCGTGCTTGAGTCCGAAATGTGCTTTAAGCCGGCGTGCTTAAAGCCGGCATGGACTGTATAAGGTTAAATGCAACCCCCCCCCCCTCTAAATCTAGATCTCTAGAGTAATGGAAAACTCTAGATTTATCATTCGAATCATATCAAGTTAAAAAAAGTTTTAGAATCTAGAATAGTGATACTGATTATAGATATATATCTTAGTACTAGATCTAGAATCTAGATTAAATCTAGATCTATAGTCTATCGGAGTGATTGGCCCACAGGGGCATATAAAATTTCCCCTAGAACATTTGTTATTTGCCCACAAAATTGCGAGTTATCTCTCCAGTGTTTGGCGCCCCCCCCCCCCCCCCCCCCATCCACAAATGATAATTTTAAATGAAAATGCAACAGCAAAATCCCCATTAAATATCAGAGAAATCATTTTATATTATAATTAGATCTATTTCTCTTCTAAGGCTTTTAAGTTAATATATTTTACACCAGAAAGTAAGTCAATTTCTACTACAATATTTTAGAGGAAGTATAGATCTAGATCTAGATCTAGATATCTTGAATGACCCCCAAACCAACAAGATCCCAAAAGATAACAAAAACTAATTTGTGTTATTAAGGATACAGAATGCTAATACTTAATAGCCATTTAAATTTATTTTTTCTTATTAATTTAATCTTAATAATCCAAAACTATTTTAAAGCTAGAGAAAGAACGAAAAGTCCTCTCATCTTCAAAAATAGCTCAACAATAGTCCATCAATCACATAGATCTATATATTTTAAATTGAGAATGTATAGTTTTCCAATCGGGAAGATTGAAAAATCGAAGTGATTATTCGGACTCGAGTCCGAATATGAAAAAATGTTATTCGGACTCTGATTCTTGTCCAGCATGACATCACTTCCGACTTCCTGTGACTCGTGAATCCGGCTTCCTGTCCTGCCTCACTCGTGACTCGCCTCAGGCTGGGTAGAGACCGGGATCACTTCGGGCAAAAAGGCGTAATTGTGCAGGAGCCGAGTTTTAATCTTATGATGAATTTGAGGCCGGCCTGAAAAGTTATAGCGCTTCTAATAAATGTTTATTTATCAAGAGGTCATCAGAAGCAATTAAAGATGGCTCGTTAGCATGTGTCGGGGTCGGATGGGCGGCCTGCACACGTGTGACTGTGTGCGTGTCGGGGAGGGTGGTGGGGGGCACTATCGGTCCGGGCTTTGAACGTCGCATAAGCGTCGGTCTTTTTCCCCCTGGCAACTGATCATTTACAATAATAAGCTAGTCTTGACGTAGATCTACGTAACGAATACGTAATGAATTGTGCGCTGGTCTATGGAATCAAAAGTTGCCGTATGCTCAGCTCTACACAGCAACACAACTTTTTCTTGGTAAACAATCGATATGACACAGGCTTGTGTATTTCAACGAATCGGTCTTTTTTTTTTTACACAGCTCATAATATGCCAGGTGGTCTGCTAATCTTCAATTTTACCTTTTTCTACAACAAAGAAAGTGGGAAACGTGGGGGGGGGGGGAGGCGTATCAATGAGGCGGCGGGCACTGGATCGGCAGATAAGGTGTGTGGGAAACTAAAAAATGGCGGAAAATTGGAAGCACTGAACGTTAGATCTGTAGAACGAAGACACTTCCTTTTTTCCGGACCCGAGTCCGAATAACGACGGCCTTGAAGAATACCGGACCACTCGTACATTATTGCGCGAGAAAGTGGGGCGGGTGGTTGGGGTGGAGGAGGGGGGGTTCTCCCCCTCTGACAAAATTTTAATGAATAGATGAACCGGTCCGAGATTCTCCATTGAGAGATCATATTAAAAACGGGGAAATTATGAATTCCTAAGTTTGAGACATAGGCAAAGTCAGTCCGCTGGGCCGGTATTCTTCACTTCCAATCTAATGCTAAAAATAAAACGAAGTGACTATTTCTCCGAACGTTCGGAGAAATACTGCCGATCTTTATTTCTCCGAACGGTTTCCGGCTTCCGGTCTTGTGATTTTTTGCCTATCTATTTATTGCGAGAGTTCGGCGCCAACTTTCATTCTGCCTCTGGTCTGTGAAGGAACACCGCATGGCAAGCCCGCCTACATACACCCTTCAGTAACACCCACCGCACACCCACCACCATCATGCATGTGTACACACACAAACTTATACACACACTAACTAAACATGATCAGTGGGCAACTTTTGAACGTATGACGAGCTGAGCTGTGGATGGAGAGACAGTGTGAGTGAAAGAGTGGATGAAAGGAAGAATGTACGAGCGTGTCCACAGGCAACAGCAACTACTACTACAAGACGACGACACCGACCCCCCCCCCGGCCTGGCCCACAGCTCACGAACGAAAGGAATGTGGTTAAGGGCACTAAGGCAGTGTTTTATCCGTTTTATCTTGCCTATATTATTGTCCATGGTTCGCAGGGTGCAAGGGAATGAGTGAGATTTTCTTTGTGTGTGCCTGGAGGGAGGGGGTGGGGTGTGAAAGTCATGCGGACGGGGATGAATCGCGGGAGAGAACACAGGAATTGAATAGATGAGTGAAACTGAAAGAGAGGAACGACTCATGAGCCCTGGAGTGAAAGGATCCTGTGTTTCTATTTTTGTATACTTTGAACTGTTACTGAATAAAGGCTGAAATAAAGCCCGAAAAACAAACACACACACACTCCTCACTCTCCACTTACACACTTACTACCACACACAGACACACGCACATAAGCATACACACACACACACACACACACAGGAGCAAATTTTTGGGTCTATATCTATTTCAATTTTCAAGAGCTAGTCTAGAGATTTTTAGACGAGTGTAAAAACGTTAAAAAGAAAGGTTTCACAACAGAATGAAATCAAAATTAGAACAGCCCATAAACAACCACAAAAATTAACAAATAAGGGCGTGTGTCCACCTGTCCGAAGAAGATTGGCTGTTTTAACTATAAATGTGCGTAAATTTTTTTTAAAGTGCAGGATATTTAAAATTATTACATATATAAATTATGGAATCACACACACATTAAGGGGCCTGCCAGTGTCAGTTCATTTAATCGGTTTTGGTGGAACGTACACTCTAACATAACACATTTAAATCTCTCTCTCTCTTTATATACTTTATATAAATGTAGGCTATATATTTAGAATCTAATGAAGAATGAAGGTAGGAACATCAAATTAAATGACGTTACTCTAGATTCTAGGCAACATACCCCCCCCCCCCCCCTTTTTCCGGAACAAAAAAAATTGATAGAAAAACAACACATCAGAACAATAACAAGAAAACAATTTACACACTAACAAAATAAAATACCACAAAGAGTCAAAGAGGGAAAAATAAAAGTAACTGTAACGTATTCAATAGATCAACGAGGTTCGGTTTCTTGTTTTCTTTTTTTTTCTTAATTTGACTTTTATTCCCCGACCAAAAAATGCCAACGAGCCACGATTGATTGGTCGCAGCCGCGACAAACGCAGAAGCTAGTTCTATGTGTCGTTATCAATAACCCTCCGTAGATCTAGATCTAGATCTAGACAGCACACTAGTGAACACAACACATTAAGTTTAAGAGCAGCACCCTTCATAGGCAACACGTCATATCTGTATCGGAAAACTGTTTGGAACTGTAGACTAGCATTTCTTTATATATATAAATATTTACTGCGGACATTTTTTGGACCGATTGAACCATATTGTATACAAACAATCTTTGGTAGGCCTATACTCTACATAAATCCGAAATTTGCGGGAAAGGATGTGATTTCAGAGTGTTCGGAGAAATAGTGCCCAGCTTTATTTTCCCGAACCTTCGGAGAAATAGTGCCCAGCTTTATTTCAATTATGAAAAAAAAGTAAATTGAGAACTGTATTATAATTATTTTACAGTGACAGGGGGGAAAGCAGACTTAAAATTAAGCATGATTATATTACTTAGTCAACTAAACCTATATATCCGTTTAAAATAAAACCAAGGAAAGGAATAATTCTGAAAGCATAAATATGTAAAAACTGAATAGATCTAGATTCTACATTTTTTTGAAAAGTGATTTAAATCACTGATTTTTATTTTTAAAATCAAATTGATTAAATTTTTTTAAAAATCAACTGATTTAAATCAACCCAGCTCTGGTTTCAATTATGGAAAAAAAAGTTTTTATTGAATACACTGTATTATTTTGGCCACCTCTATTCTCACCCGGAGTGAGAATAGTGCAGGCGAGTCTTGTGGCTATTCTCACCCGGTGCGCGTTCACCCTAAACCACAGAAATCTACACTGTGATAACAGAAAAATTGTAGAATTCTGTGCCGTGAACAAACGTTCCATTACAATTGTAGCCTACTAAAAGCGTACAATTTTGTCTGTGGGCAGTGGAGAGAGAGAGAGAAAGAGAGAGAGGAGTAGCGCGAGAATTTCCGGGCAAAACAAAAAGGCGACCCGCGTAGTTCGACTCGATTCGAAAAGTTAGATAGCCGTAGCATCTTTGTAGACAACCAAATTTATTTACTTTTGTGTTTTAACATCATTTTTTAACTTTGTTTTGGTCAATTTGATCGTCCACACCGATAGACAGTATTCAGAAAGAGATGGAGAGAGAGAGAAGAGGGGAGGAGTTGATCTTGCGAGAACTTCCGGGCGGGTGAGAATAGCCACTTTCATTATTTTACAGTGAAAGGGGGGAAATCAGACTTTTAAGCATGATTATATTAGTCTACTGAACCTTATATCTGTTATATGAAACCAAAGAAAGGAATTCTGAATGTTGAAATGTGTAAAAACCGAATAAAAATTATTTTTTTTTAAAGTGATTTAAATCACTGATTTTTATTTTAAAAATCAAGTTGATTTAAATAAAAAAAATCAACTGATTTAAATCAACCCAACCCTGTTATTTTCCCGAACGTTCGGAGAAATAGATCTAGAATCTAGATCTAGATCTAGATATCTAGATCTAGATCTAGATCTAGTGCCCAGCTTTATTTTCCCGAACGTTAGGAGAAATAGATCTTAGAATCTAGATCTAGATCTAGATCTAGTCTAGATCTAGAATCTAGTGCCGGCCAAAATAAAAAGATGAACAATAGCAGCTAAGGCTAAGAAGAAGTTAGAGAACAAGTTGGGACAATACCATATAGATCTAGAATCTAGATTATATCTAGATCTAGATCTAGACCTAGATTTCTAGATTCTAGATCTAGATCTAGATCTAGATCTAGATATCTAGACTAGATTTTCTAGAGATCTCTCTAGAGTGTAGAGATCTAGAATCTAGATCTAGATCTAGATCTAGATCTAGATCTATAATCTAGATTAGATTCTAGTATTCTAGATCTAGTGCCATCAATTTAGATTAGATTGTAGATCTAGATCTAGAAATCTAGATATAGTCTAGATCTATCTAGTCTAGATCAATAGATGCAATAAAATAGCCATAAAATTGAGTAGCCTAGCTGGCCCAACCCGCGACCACTTTTGTATTTTGCTTCTCAGCGGTCTCTGATTTTAAGTCTGATTCAGAGCTACAAAATTGCATAAGATGACTTTCACAAAACAAATATAGTCTAGATATCTACTGGGTAACCAACATTCTGCAAATAATACGATTTTAAAAAGATGTTTACGCTTTGAGCAGCAACGTCGTGCAAAACGTACGGTAGATCTACATTCTACATCTAGCCTACCTTTTATTTATTATTTGTATCCGGCGCTTATTTGCCTTGTTTTAAGTATTTCCGGTCTTCGGTCAGATTTTTCACCCTTTTCATATCTTGATTAGAAGAATAGTAAGTATATATATAGAGATCTATATATATTGGCCTTTGAGGAAAGGGGAAAAATATTCTTAAGTTCAAATTTCTGCTTTTAATAAAGAACTTTTAGTTTTGATTGATGTGTGCTAGTACTGAAGATCAACTTAATGACTTAATGATTTAGACTAGTTATAATTTCTCTGTAATATCAAGGGACCAATAAGGCATTGCGACAACGTATTGAACGAAGATGTTGTTGCCAAGAAGTTTGGGTAAAGTGTTTATTTCGTAAATTTTGATCTACTTTAAATATTAATTTACTGGCAAATATTGTGCCTGAAGAGGGGTATTCTCTTCGGGGCTTTTTCATTCATGCGGAAGTAAGGAAATTTCAACTTCAACACTAGGCCTAGCTCCTTATGAAGGTCAATCCAGTGTGATTGGATGACTTGGTGGATTTCCTCATCAGATTCACCAATCAGAACACCCAGAATATAGAAAGGAAGTGTCCGTCCAGTTAGACGATACTAAATACAGCGGAGTTTCCCAGAAATCAAGAAGTGGATAGGTAAAGCGTCTGTGAAACTGAAACTTCTTGAACATTTTGTCCTTTTTTGGGTAAGTCGGGTGTCCAAGACATAACAGGTTGTCTGTAAGCTTTGTATAAATGTCACAGTATCGCGCAAACTTTTCAAATTAATCTGAAAAGCCTAAAGGCGTTCGTGACTGCACCTGTGACTGTGGCCTGCGAGGACACGTCCCTTCTTCCTGGCCTGGGACTGGGAAGGTTGCGGGTTCGTCACTCTAGACTCAAGATAGATCTATCTATCATTCCCTCCCCTGTAGCCTACAAAACATTATCAACCCATCACCGTAATTGGAGCCTACTCCTACCGTCCACATCACCACCCTTATGACATGAGACTGAGTAGATCTAGATCTAGATCTATCTAGAGATCTAAACCTATGCAATGTCAATCAAAATCAAAATGAACAATAATGGCTACCTCTTACTCTTGTATAGATCTAGAAAAAATCTAGATCTAGATCTAGAATCTAGATCTAGATTCTAGATCTAGATCTCAAGAATTCTAGGAGACTGATGCACTCAACTTATCTTCTGACTTTTTCCAACTCAACCTTCCTTCCCTTAGTATTGATGGGGTCATCCTTTAGCCACCTGGGGACATCTCCTCAGCCTCAGGTCTCAAATGTTTAGGTTGGAAGATGGTCAAAACATATTTTAACCTAAAGTTAAAGGAGTTAAAGGGTAGGAGGAGGGGGAATTCCTTTCCCTCCTGAATTTCCTCATATCTAATCTAGATCTACTAGTATCTAGGTCTATTTAAGTGTGTATCCTGTTTCACAAGTTTAGGGAGGAATTCCTAGAGGTCTAGATCTAGGCCTACTTGACAAGACCTCATTTCCAAGAAAGCCCAATCCATTTCCATTTTCTTTTGGCTTCTTTGTGTAGGAGGGATATGAATATTTATTGTATTTGAAATGAGGCTGCTTTCCTGAAAACTGGTGCTCTGCTAAATATACTGTAACAGGGAAAACCGACTTGGAATGTCACATAGAGTAGTCCTTTATTTCTGGAGGCAATGTGCAGTAGCCATGTTTTGTTGAGGGTCCATTTGAATTTGAGACAATATTGAGTGTTTTTTTCCTCTAGGCTCTTTGGCTCAGTTATTTGTTGTTGTAATTGTAAATTAATAACAGAAGTTTGTCTATTTTTCGGACTTTTATGACTTAAGGATCCACTTCTGGCCGAGTTGAAATTTATATAAATAAATGGTTCATTTCATTCACATTTTATGGAAAATTTCAGTGATTCTGACTCCTCATATGTGAGTCTCTCAGAATTGGATTCGGATTATTGTCTCAACAAAAATATGGCTGAATGCATGATGAATGGAATAAGCCGTCTCCCTCAGGAGGTATAGTAGCTAGCTCTGTTTTTTGTTTCGAAATGGCTATTCATTTGGACTCAAATGCACGGTATTGTGTTGTCCTGATTTTATTTGAACATCATGTAAAGTATGCTGTTGGAAAAGTTTAGCTACAGACCACTGTTACTTATTTTCGTTCCCTTTGGAAGGGTTTTGTCTTCTTAATTTTCTGACTTGGACTTTCAATTGGTTAATGATTTTTGTCTTTCTTGTCAAATGAAGGGGGTTTAGACTACCTGTTACTGTTGACAGAGTTATTATATAAGGCCAAGGTCGAATTGCTTACAACAATTGCCTGTCCGCTTCACATCCGGTACTCCCGTTGACTGCGCATGCGCATTGGAACTTTGAGTCCGAATAGCCACGGGAGACTCTTCAGACTCGAGTCCGAATAGCAGGAGCCTTTTTGGTTTTTTTATACTGTTTCTTTTCAAATATATATAGAATTTGATTAATATAGGCCTACACACACAACAATGACCACATTCATCACCTATTCTCACTGTTTGCTTTGTTGTTGGTTGATGTTTGTATTCAAAAACTAACTTTCCATTACATTTTTATTATCCAATTTCACAGAAATTTTAATGTTCTCTTGTTAAGTAATATGTATCATTCATGGTTAATTAATGTTATTCATCTATAGGTCTCTATGCCATTTTTTGGTTTGCTGTATTGATTTTGTTTGTAAAAGTACCTCTTCTTTGTGTGAATGATTGTAAGTTTGCCAGTTTTGGTTGTATTTTGAAAACTCATTTATAAACTCTTGTTTCAAAGATGAAAATGATATGTTTGATCATAAACTTTTGAGGAAATTTCATGTAGGGTCTTCTTTTTCTTCATCTCTGCTTCAAATAGCCTAGTGGCAAGAGACTGACTTTTTCAGGGATGCTATTTGAAATAAAAATTCAGTCTTGAACTATTGAATGCTTCTTGTGTGAAGCTTGTGCAGGTAATAAGAAACCTGCATGTTCCTGTTTAGGGTGCTTCTTTTTTCCAAAACCCACCGTAACTGTCCAAAACCTACCGAAACAGAAACCTACCGTACGAAACCATTCGAAACCTACTGAAACAGAAAGAATACAATCTGGAATACAGTACAGCACACCTACAGACTTCAATATCAGTTAAGGACCACCTTGACAGATAGCCCTGATTTTAAAAAATCTGAAAAAGTACAGCAAGGAATGTTTCAGAATTTTTTGCTCTGAAAGTGTTAATGCGTTAACAATGCATTCTTCAAAGCTTCCCAAAGGTGCAAAATCACCACGTGCTACACACAGAAATCCTCTGGGAATTTTAGCCGAATTTGCAAGTGGTCTGTAACTTATGTTGAAGTCTGTATTAAGAACACTCTTGTAAAGAACTGACGGAAATAAAGTTCTCATTACTTTTTGTCTCATATATATATTTCTCTCTTTGTGTTATTTATATTTTGACGCATTTAGTGAAAATACGATAACGAACTGATGGCTGTAACGGACTAATTTTCTTGCCCAACAAGTCTTTTCCTTCTTATTTACGACTGAAGTAACGAACCAGCCCATCATAGTTTTAAATTCTAAAAGTCTGAATAGCCGAATAAATGAATCGCTTTTGGGGGGGGGGGGGGATGAAGAGTAAAGAAACAGTCAATTGACGTGAGAAATAGGAGTTACGGGTGTTTATGAAAGAGTACACAAACTTACTGAAAAAATTGGGAAAAATGAGTGAGAAAAAGCATGTTGACTGAAATAAAGAACCACTGATATGAAAAGAACTATTTTTACTGTCTGGGCTTGTTCTTTATATCAGTGTTTCACAACATACACACTCTCTCTCTCTCTCTCTTTCTCTCTCTCTCTCTCTCTCTCTCTCTCTCTCTCTCTCTCTCTCTCTTCTCTCTCTCATGGAATATAAAGCTTTTCTCTCTTTAGCCTTGATCCTTCATAGATGTCTGTGTCTACAGGGCCCATCTCAGGATTTACCTGTGCCCACACCCACCATGTCGCAATGGGCCAAAGTCCAGCAGAGTCCCACCATCTTCCGACAGATGCAACAGTTCTACCAGTCGCCTTTCTCCATGGAGGTGCGATACTTCCTCTGCCAGTGGATTGAGGATCAGCAGTGGTGCGTCATGCTTGTCATCCCACTTTAGAAAAAACTGTTCTTTTTTTTAATTGTAGAAGCAGAAACATCCCAAATGGGTTTGTTTTGGTTTTTTTAATTTTTAGAAATATCAAAGATTTTTGTTTATTGTTGATAACATTAATGATTACGCTCAAAGTTTGTTGGGGGGGGGGGTTTTTCAGCTGGAAAAGATTGTACCTAGATTTTATAGCTCGCCACTTTTTTTTTCTTAATTCTTTTTATTTCTTTTTTCGTGAAATCCAAATGTTGTTTTTTTTGTTTTGTTTTTTGTTTGTTTTTGTAAAGTGTTTTACGGCGCTCGCAACTGCATAAGGTCATATGAGCGCGTGGGTCACACTTTTTGGTACTTTTCAACGTACAATTTAAGGTGTATCCTTGTATAAAAAATTATGTTAATTCTCATTTAGTGCACCCAAAGCATGCATTTCTGCCCTTGAGACTAAAAAAAGAACGGACGTTGTAACTTGTCTGGTTATTTTGTTAGACGTGCTGGAGTTGGCAATGCTAAATTGTAATTTTTTTTTGACTAGCATATATGAAAAAAAATCAATATAAAAAAAGGCCTCGTCAAAATCTGTCGAACTTTTGGGACATCATGAACGACATAGCGTTGGTGCAGATACTCAGAAAAGATGGTATCTGCGCATATAATAGAAAGCTGTAATTTTGCAACTTTATCCATCGGGCACACAATTAGCTATGAAGTAATTCCTCCAAATGCAACTTCATGTGTCTAATATAATCGTGAATATTTGCATATTTTCTCGAAAGTTTATAAAAGTTACCATGAAGTTTCTCTATGAAAAGTACAAATCGATTTTAGTGCCAGAATACTACCGGCTCAGGGTCACAGGGTTAAGGAGCCCTGAAGTGACTTTGCTGCTGTCGGTTAGGAAGTTCGCATTTTGTCTACGTTTGAAACGATACAACTTCTTCTTCATTCCACACAGCAAACCATTATGCGCAGGTTCTAAAAGCTCAATGTCTTGAGATTTATTCTACGTTAGAATGGTTAATTTCTGTGCCTTAGTTTTATTTCTAGATAAGTGTTTGTAGAGTACCCAATTTGTCCTATTTTAGTTACAAACTTATGAATAAATTATAGTTTATTTTAAAAAGGCACGACAGATCTCTCCCAAATCTGTGTTAAACTGACTACGAATATCATGCCTTTTACCACGGTAAAAATTTTTAATCTGCGCGAGTAGTACGAGGCCTGTCCCACGGAAAACCGGAAAAGGTCCATAAAAGCAACAATCTTTGTCCTATTTTAATAAAAAAGTAACACATCATACCTCAACATGTGCTTTAGTTTTCAATGTCACTATCCCCCTGGACGCATTTTCCCCATTGATGGATCAGGAAGAAGATACCCTCCCTGCAAAATTTTTTGTCAAGGGATTTCAGCCAATCTTTCATGGCTTCCACGAGGTCTTCGTCGTCGGTGAATCGCTGTCCAGAAATACGGCGTTTCATTAGTCCAAAAAAATGATAATCTGACGGGGCCAAGTCAGGACTATGAGGGGTGTGTGGCAGAACTGCCCAGCCGAACCTTTGGATCCAGTCTTTCGTAGTGTTTGCGGTGTGTGGCGTTGCGTTGTCACGCTGCAAAATTACCCCGCTGAACAACTGGCCTGGTCTTTTTCGGCACACAACCTCTCTCAACTTATCAAGAGTCTGGCAGTTAGCATTAACAGTTTATCCTAGTTCCAGAATTTCATGAAGCAGAACACCCTTAGCATCCTAAGCCATGAGTTTCTTCACCGATAGCTGAACTTTTTCGGGGGAGGTGAAAATGTTTGGTTCCAAACCACTGAATCCCTCTTCATCTCAGGGTTCATGTGGTGTATCCAAGTCTCATCACCTGTAATAATGCTTCATCATATTGTTGGAGGTCTCCAAATGCGTTCATGACTACTGTGACAGCTTGGCGACAACGATTCAACAAAGTCTGAAACATTTCAATACATTGCGTATTGTGATCAGCTGTCAGCTATTTTGGGACCCATCGAGAAGAGACCTTTCCATAGTGCAGCTCATCAAACACTATCCTATGGACAGTCGACTTTGAAATGTTTAGCGACTCGGAAACTCCGTGAATTTTTAGGCGATGCCCGGCTTTGAACTTATTACACCACTCATATATATGTAACTTTGTCATTACTTTTTTCCTGTAAACTGACTTTATTTCGGTGTGTATTTCTATATATAGGTTTGGGACCTTTAGTGGTCAGAAACCGAATGACAGACCTCACTTCTACCCTTGACCAATTTTCCAAAGGGGTAGCCATCTTTGGAGAACTGCTGTGTTTGTTTGGTTTGTGTGATGCTCATGGTGCTCAATCGAGAAATTCCTGAATGATTGTTCTACAAGTGTGCGTTTACAGAATGAAAATAATTATTGAATAGTATTCAAATTACTGCCAAATTCTGGTTTTCCGTGGGACAGCCCTCGTAATAGACAAGTTATAAGAGAAGAAAGATGCACATTAGCATTTTTTAACTAAAGACACTCAGTGTTAGCTCTTTTTCTACCATTAAACAAGAGACAGTTACTCTGCGTTTGTCCATGAATCATGCTGTGTCTGTGGCAGCCTGCATACAACTAAGAAAGATATATTGTGCGATTTTTTTAAAAACACAATAGTGTGTTAATACATGGGTAGAGATTAACTTCTTGTATGGAACAAAAATAATGACAGTTAACATTCATTCTTAGATTTTTGTTGGACATGTGCGTGGACACTTATGAATGTAAAGAAATCAGAACATTGTCACTTATTGCAAATAGAGATAGAAACGAAAATAAAAGCTGGAAAAGCCAGGTGCTGATTCAGTGTCAGGGGAAAGCTAGAAATTATTCGTATTATAATACAATCAAACAATTACGAGGCGTCATCCCTGTTATTCAGTCAACTTACAAAACCTAGATCTAGCGCTTTAAAGAAAAATAAGGAATAATTTATGGAGTCTAACTGATAGCCAACTGTTCGTGTATTACATTGTTGTAGATGTATTCTGGCACTAAAATCGGTTTGCACTTTTTCATAGAGAGACATCAGGGTAATTTTGATAAACTTTAGAGAAAATTTGCGAATATTCCCGATTATGTTCAGACACATAAAGTTGTATTTGGAGGAATTACTTCATAGCGAATTGTGTGCCAGATGGATAAAGTTGCAAAATTACGGCTTCCTAGAATATGCACAGATACCATCTTTTCTGAGTATCTGCACCAATGCTAGGTCGTTCATGTTCCAAAAGTTCGACAGTTTTTGTTGTGCTTTTTATTTTATATTGATTTTTTTTTCATTCCCACTTGTAAAAATTTTTTTTACAATTTAGCATTGCCCGACTTCAGCGCGTCTAACTAAATAACCAGACAAGTTACAATGTCCGTTGTTTTTTGGGTCTCAAGAGCAGAAATGTGTGCTTTGGGTGCATTAAATGATAATTACCATAAATACAAGGATACACCTACAAGTGTACGTTGAAAAGTACCAAAAATGAAGTCAGCCCAGACAGAGCGGTGACAGGGAGCTGACCCCCGTGACCTCGACTAAAATTCCACTGCCGCTGCGCCGTGAAGTAAACAAGACATTTCGAGGAAAAAATAACCCAAATTTTAGGAGAAAAATAACCCATACTTTGAAGATGGGAACAAATAGGGAAGGTTTTTGGGAGGGGGGGTGGAAGACTTTTTTCCAAAGAAGGCTGAAGGACTCAGCATGTTGTCTTGATAATGGGACAGTTTTTGGTTTTTTGTTTATAGCTCTTGGTGATTTTTACCAGACAATATAACAGACATAATGCACTAGACAAGAAAAACACAAGCAAAAAGACAGACATCTACAGTCGTTTTGAGGTCATGTAATGCTGTTTTGTTTACGTGCATTTCAAACGGTATAGCAACAGACATAAGAGGTGACAGCAAACTCAAATTTGTAAAAACCTTCAAAATTAGAAAGAAAACTGGAAATTACTGAAGTACAAAGAATATCAGCGCACATGATCGGTTTGCCCTGGAAAGAACTAAAATGTTTTACCAAGGTGACTAGTGATGACGAAGAATGTGCATTATCATTAATAGCCCATTTTCAATAGTCTCAGTAGCAAAGGCCAGCAATACAGCATACTTGCGTGTCTCATATCAGAGGACAATATCAAGAACAGACGTACTCCCGAGACTGAATATGAAGCAATACTCCACCATAATGACTGCTTTTACTCCATCGGAGTAGAAAGACGTGGAGCTACTGACACAGTCTCCATCTGCATCCCTGCATTTCTGCCAGTATTTGGCATAACCAAGGCCGTCAGTGTCTTGCTGGTTTTATATAAATTGGAAATCTTCATGCATTCGTTGTTCCACTGTCAACTATTAACACAAATTGCATTTCTAAAATCCTGAGTCTTATCTTGTTACTCATTCTAGTTTTATTGTGCGATTTCTTCTCTTTTTCTTTGCGTTCCCATACGTTCAGGGGTAGTCCACTGCTGCTTCTTCAACATGCAGTGTAACAGATTTTTACGTATGCGACCTTTTACCAACTTAGTAGGGACCATAGCCTTCAGGCAGCCACATTCCGATTTTGAAGGTACTTTATATAGTTTTTTACACTGACTAGAGTATTTTCAGTTTTGTTTGGAATAAATTTAGATTTTTGCTCGGATGCGGATGGTGGTCGAAGCCTACTCTTATCGATTTTAGGACCCCCAAGGGATCTTTAATGTGCTTAACTTCCACGCAGGACCTCCCAGATTTTCCACCCTTTTGCGAGAAGATTAGGTGTTCGATTTTTCCTGCCATAGGATCAAGGATGTGGCTGAAAGAAAGCAGTTATAAGAAGCCAGGAGTGACAGTAGAAAGAGCTAGGGTGGCAGAGGAAAGAGTCAAGAGTAAGGGCGAGAGGAGCCAAGTCAGGTTTCGAACTGGGGACCTATTGAATGAGAGGCGAACACTGTACATGTAGGCCACA